TTGTGATGCCGGTACCGGGCCGTGGCACAAAAAAGGTTGGGGGCCACTGTATTAAAGGAGACCTTTTGTCAGCGAAGGGAGCTCCGGGCGGGCTTCCCCGTGGAGGTCCAGGCCGAGCGTCCGTCTCTTCTGCGCGCCCACAGATGGAGAAGGCGAGGACGCACTACGACGCCAAGAAGCAGCAGAACCAGGAGCTGCTGCAGAAGCTGAAGGGCCTGGAGCACCTGGAGAAGGAGAACGCCGAGCTGAAGGCCGAGTCGGAGCGCCTGGCCAAGGAGTTGCAGCGCACGGCCCTGCAGGCCACCGAGTCGGAGCTCAGCCTGAAGAACCTCACCAGCCAGGTCCGGGTCCTGCAGGCCCAGGTAGGCGGGGGGGGCAGCGGGGGGGGGCAGCTGGACGCTGGCCAGGGGAGAAATGCATCGCTTGACTCGACGTTTCTCTCGAGTTACGGTTCCACTGTGTACATTGCAAAGTTTGCGTCCATGGGCAGGTAGCCCTGGAGCACAACGGAGCCTGAAATTTCCGTTGCTAAGCAGGGCAGTTGTTAAAGAGAGTTTTGCCCTGTTTTTACCGCTTTTCTTGCCACGGTTGTCAAGGGAGTCACTTCAGGTGTTCAGTTAGTCAACCCGTGGTTAAGTGAATCTGGCTCCCCCCCCCCGCCCTCCCCTTGGCTTCGCTGGTCAGAAGGTCGCAAAAGTTGGTCCCCTGACACACACACACACACGCACACACACACACACACACATATACCGGGAGGCTGCAACTGTCATACATAGGAGCCGATTGACCAAATGCCCAAATGGTGGTCATGGGACCATGGAGAGGCTGCAACAGTTGTGCAAAGACCAGTTGTCAGTCACTTTTTTCAGTGCCATCGTCATTTCACCTGGTGGTAAGTTGAGGATTTACCTTCGGCAGGAGTATTGAACGAAGATGCCCAAAATGGACTTTTTGTGGATCCGCCGGCCTCTCTGTAGAAGAGGGATGAAGAATAGAATAGAATAGAATAGAATAGAATAGAATAGAATAGAAAAGAATAGAAAGGAAAAGAATAGAATAGAATAGAATAGAATAGAATAGAAATATGGAATAGGAGAGAAATAGAATAGAATAGGAAAGAATAGAATAGAATAGAAAAGAAATGAGAATTAGGAATAGAGAATAGAATAGGAATAGAATAGAATAGAATAGAAATGATAATTTGGAATGGAGAATAGAATAAGAATAGAATTGAATTGAAATGAAATGAAATGAAATAAGAATTAGGAATATAGAATAGGAGAGAACAGAATAGGAGAGAATAGAATAGGAGAGAATAGAATAGGAATGAATAATAAGATTATCATCACTTTGAATGCAGACTAATTGGCATACCTTAAAATGAAATTTCGTGGCAGGCAGCTCTCGTAGGGTCTCCACCTCCCAATATACACGGCACGAACATGACAGGATAAAGAAATACAACCTGATGCCTGTAGCCACAGAGATTACCTGACCCAGAGAAACCACACAGCCCCCCTTCTTGGGCCTGGCTGCTCTTCTTTCTAATTCTGCCCCAATCCCCCCCCCACAGCTGGACTTCTCGGACCGGCAGCTTCGGGAGCAGGGCAAGGTCCAGGCGGCCCTGGAGACCCTCAAGGGCCGGGAGACTTTCCGCCAGAGCTCGGCCGACATCAGCACCGACAGCCTGGACTTGAACACCAGCGACGAAGGGCAGCCCCTGAACTCCACCAGGTACCGGCCTTCAGCGGCTCCGTGGCTACCTCCCCTGGCTCTGGAGCCCCTTTAAGACCTGTGGACTTCAACTCCCAGAGTTCTTCAGCCAGCCAGGAATGATAGAGTTGGAGGGGACCAGAAGGGTCATCTAAGTCAGGGATCTCCAACCTGGGCCACTTGAAGACCTGTGGACTTCAACTCCCAGAGTTCTTCAGCCAGTCAGGAACGATAGAGTTGGAGGGTACCAGAAGGGTCATCTAAGTCAGGGGTCTCCCACCTGGGCCCCTTGAAGACCTGCGGAGTTCCTCTGGGAGTTGAAGTCCGCAGGTCTTAAGGTGGCCCAGGTTGGAGACCCCTGCTCTGGAGGACGGCCCCTTCTGCAGAAGCCAAAGCTCCTGCCTAGCTTCCTTGGTCTTTGCTGCCAGAGGGAAGCTGCCGCAGAAGGGAATCTGGTTCTTTTGGGGTCTCTGGTCCTCTCTGAGCTTGGCGGGGGGGTTTTCTTGCAGACATTTCACAACCCAACTAGGTAACACCATCAGGGCTAAAATCTACCCAAAGATGACCTAGTTGTGGCATGAAACATCTGTAAGGAAACCACCAAGCTCGGGGATCATCAAGGACCCCATAGCCTTCCTTGAGGTCACCTAGTTTGTCCATAAAACGTCTGCAACCCCCCCCCCCCCCCCCCCCCCCCCAAAGTTCAAAGAGCACCCAGGACCCCTCAGTTCACCCCTGAGCTACAAACCTTCTCTTCCCTTGGCCCTTTTGGGGTCTTCAGGCTGAATGGGAGATTATGGCCGGGCACGAAAGACATTTGTTTATTATGAACATTGATAAAGCTGCCCGCAGCCGGCGGCTTACAGAAGTGAGGCCCCAAACCCATACCCCAATAACTCCCCGGCCCCTCTGATAACAGTCCCACAGCCCCCTCGGATGGGCTCCGTATCCCAAGGAGGTCTCCGTGCCCATTGGCAAAATCCTGTCTTCAGGCCATCTGGAAAAAGGCGGAAGAGGGAGGCCGGCCTTATGCCCTGCAGGGAGGGAGCCACCACGGAGAAGGCCCTTCTTCTTGGTCCCACTAGAACTAGGTGGACCTCCTTGAAGGGGGGGTGTCTTGTAACATCTCCTCAGGGGTGGGATTCAAAAATTTTAACAACTGGTTCTGTGGGCGTGGCTTAGGTGGTGGTCACGGCTTGGTAGTCATGTGACTGGGTGGACGTGGATAGGTAGACATGTGACTGGTCACGGCTTGGTAGTCATGTGACTGGGTGGACATGGCTTGGTGGTCATGTGACTGGCTGGGCGTGGCCAACTCAACATCACTCACATCAAGGCACGCATCTCCTCGCCTGGTCTCTCATGACTGTGGGGATGCTGCAACAGTCATAAGTGTGAAAAATGGTCATAAGTCACTTTTTTCAGTGCCATTGTAACTTTGGTCACTCCACACAAGCAAAGTACCAGCAAAGGAGGGGAAAAAAAACTCCAGAGAAGTTCCAGAGACAGGAAGTCTAGTCCTTCCAAGCATGTAATAGGGGTTAACGGAGAGGCAGTTTCTGTAAGCAACACCAGAATGTTTCCTTCCTGCCTTCCTTACAGGATTAGCCCTGTAATTTCTTCTTACAACCAGTTCTCTGGGCTGCTTAGAAGGTTAACAACCGGTTCTAGGTGCGAACCGGTAGACTCCCACCCCTGCATCTCCTGCCTCCCTGCTCTGGTGAGTCAGGTGGGTGTCCCCACTGGGAAAAGAGGGTCCTTCAAAGAACCTGGCCCGAAACCATCTTAAGACCTTACCAGCACCTGGAACTGGACCCGGAAGCAGGTCGGCAGCCGAGGCAGCTCCTGCAGGAGAGGCAGTCCGTGTGCAACCTTCGCCTGGCCCCAGGCTGGGCATGGAAGCCTCTGCCCGGCCCTGAGCTCTCGCTTCTCTGCTCCTCCCCAGCAAAAAGAGCCGCCGCTCCCTGTCCGAGTCGGGGCCCGTGGAGTCGTCCAAGCCGCTGCCCCACAAGCGGGAGTCCCTGGAGAGCCTCTACTTCACCCCCATCCCCACTCGCTCCCGCTCCAAGCTGGAGAACAGCGTCGACTCCATCGGCAACATCACCCTGGACTCTGGGCGGAAGGCCCTCTCGGGCCGCCGGCGCACCACGCAGCTGATCAACATTACCATGATCAAAGTAAGGGGGGGGTAGGGGGGCTGTGGACCCCGAAGGAGGGGGGAGCCAGGGAGAGGGGCCCCACAGGAGACCCTGCCCCTGGAGCCGATGGCTGTGTGGGCCCCCCTGCCTCTGCCCCCCTCGGGGGTGTGACCTCACCCTGTTTGGGTTGCCTCGCAGAAGCACCCCAAGCTGGAGCCCCTGGACAGCACCAACGAGTCCTTCGTCAGCCTGCGGTCCTCCGGCTCGGGGGAGAGCGACCAGGAGTCGGTCAAGACCCGCCTGCGTTCGGCAGCGGTGGCTTCCTCCTCCTCCTCCACCCGCTCGCTGGCCAGCCTGCCCTCCCAGGAGTCCCTCATCCGGCTGGCCGCCTCTTCGCCCGATGGCGCCTCCGGCCACGCCGCGCTGAAGAGCCTGCCTGGCTACCGACCGGCCACCCGCAGTTCTCTGAGACACTCCCAAGGCGGGGCGGCCAACCCGGGTAAGCGTGGGGAGGGGCTCGGGGTGTGGACCCCGCCCCGTTAGGGATGGATGCGTGGGGGGGGCGTGGGGGGGGCTGGGCTGATCTTCAGGGCTTCTCTGCCCCCTCGATCCGAAACGCTGCTCTTGGCCACGATCGGTGCCCCGATTGGTTCTCCACGGCCTCCTCCTGGGGGTCTCCCGAATTTTGGCAGCTTTAAGGCTTGGGGTCTTCAACTCCCAAGCAGCCATGACGGCCGGGGAACTCTGGGACTTGGAGTCCACAAGGCTTCCAAGTGGCCACGCTTTTGTATAATATTTATAAAAATATTTTTATGATACTTGACGAGTTTGACCCCCTGCTCGATCCAAATCCCCCCCACCCGAGCCAGCTAAATCCGTCTTTTGACAACCTTGGCTGCTTTAGGATGGGTGGACTTCAACTCCCAGAATTCCCCAGCCTGCCCTGCTGAACTCACAGTCCTGGGAAGACAGCCCAGGTGAATTCTGGGAGTTGAAGCCCCTGCCTCCTAAAGGGGAGAGTTGAGAAAGGCCGCTCTGGGGATGTGGCTTCCTGGTTCACCTCTCAGGTGGACGCAGAGAAAGACACACCTAGACACACAATTGCAGGTGAGCCGCCCCCAGGCTCGCAATCCCACCCCTCCCCCTCGACTGGGTTGCCTTGGGTGCTCCCTCTCTCCCTCTTTTCCCTCCCCTTGGGGCAGGGGGTCTCCAACCTGGGCCCCTTGAAGACGCGTGGACTGCAAGGCCCAGAATTCCCCAGGAAGCCAGGAATGATAGAGTTGGAAGAGACCAGAAGGGTCATCTAAGTCAGGGGTCTCCAACCTTTTCCACTTTAAGAATTGTGGACTTCAACTCCCAGAATTCCTCAGCCAGCCAGGAATGATAGAGTTGGGAGAGGCCAGAAGGGCCATCTAAGTCAGGGGTCTCCAACCTTTTCCACTTTAAGACTTGTGGACTTCAACTCCCAGAATTCCTCAGCCAGCCAGGAATGATAGAGTTGGGAGAGGCCAGAAGGGCCATCTAAGTCAGGGGTTTCCAACTTTTTCCACTTTAAGACTTGTGGACTTCAACTCCCAGAATTCCTCAGCCAGCCAGGAATGATAGAGTTGGGAGAGGCCAGAAGGGCCATCTAAGTCAGGGGTCTCCAACCTTTTCCACTTTAAGACTTGTGGACTTCAACTCCCAGAATTCCTCAGCCAGCCAGGAATGATAGAGTTGGAAGAGGACCAGAAGGGCCATCTTAAGTCAGGGGTCCGGTCGCTGGCTGAGGGACTCTGGGAGTTGGAGTCCACAAGTCCGAAAGTGGCCCAGGTTGGAGACCCCGGAGGCCCTGGGGGGGGGGATTGGGAGCCCCCCACCCATGCCCTGCCTGCCCTCCCCTCCCCTCTGCAGGCCGGAGCAGCTTCTACGCAGCCTCCTGTGATGATGAGCCGGAGCAGCTGGACGGCTGGAACCGCATCGCGGAGCTGCAGCAGCGCAACCGCATCTGCCCGCCTCACCTGAAGACCTGCTACCCGCTGGAGTCCCGGGTGAGTCTCTCCTGCCTGGCCCGTTTCCTTCCGCTGGGCCCGGGACCCTTCGGGGGGGG